AACTGTCTCATTGCTATATGTTTATCAATAAAACTGTAGAAAAAAAATAAAAAATAATAATAAAAAGAATGCTAAAAAAAAAAAAAGTCACTGCCTTACTAACTGATCAGATTTATCCCACACTCTGAGAGATAGATACATACATACATACATATAAATGTTAACTGATACTAAGCATTTTTACATTTTTATTTACTACATACATAGTATATGTATTTTTGTTGTTATTGTATCTTATTAATAGTAATAATAAACCTATGGTCATACGTTACTAACTTCACAAACGTGTAAACAAAGGGCAGTTTCGTTATTTTAAAAAAGGAGTGGAAGGAAAAAAATATATATATATACACACAAGAGAGTTAGGATAGATATACAACTACTTTTCTCAGTTCACTGAGAATAAAAGTTTGTACTAATATTGTTCAGACAAGATATCATGTCTGCATCTTGTCCTCTGAATAACTACTATGAAGACAACAGTATGCATGCATTAATTATTGTAAACATCCTACTAACCTGTTTTGAAACTGTTTCATCACTATTTTATCTTTTTTATCATTAAAATGAATAAAAATTATTTAAAAAACTAAAACAACCTTAAGATGATTGTACTCTTGTAGGCTTATGTATTTGCAGTTACACTCTCTAGAGTATTTTTAAATAGTGATAGAACTTTTAGCAGTGGTTAAAACTGATTGTTATTATGAACAGCTCCAATGATGGGATCTCAAATATGTATATGGATGAAGCAACTATCTGATTCAGTATGTCTTCATCTAAGTTCCACTTCATACATATTCAATTTTAAAATTTAATTTGAAGTATTTAAAAAATACTAATAATAATGCATATCTATGAAGTTTAATGTCTCCATACCTGCATGTAGTATGCATTGACCCTATCTGACTACCTTTTCTCCACTTACCTTATCAGAAGGAATTCAGGTGTGTGTATTTGTTTTTGCTGCACTGCGGATCAAACCCATGACCTTGCATGTGCAAAGCAAGCATGTGACAACTGAGCCACACCACAGCTCTAATAATTGAGCTTGGTGATGGTGCGGTTTCACAGTTGACTTATTGTATCACACCAAGAACAATTTGCCACCAACTTCAAGTAATATTATATGTTTTTTTTCTCTTTTCTCCAAAGAAATAAACAGTGGCATACGTAAAATATAAAAAGTAATTAGGAGAAATTATATAATCCCTTTGTGATACTATTATATCTTTGGATTTGAATATTCACTGTAAAAATTTAAATACTTGCTGCTCTGTTGAATTCCTGTTGTTTTTTATGAAGTTCTGTATCATTTCTATATTTCTTTACTATTTTGCATTCTGATTAGGTAATAAAAAAGGAAAAAAAATATTCACTGTTCATAAGCATTATAGTTTTTCTCTTTACAGTGTAGTGGCACCAGAATGTTTAAAGCCATGTAATATGAGCATGTTTTCTAACATAAAAAGCTTTTCTATATATATGTATATATTTTAAAAATCTATAAATATGAAATTAACTCAAGTGGCAAAATAGACTTAAAATTTGGTACTGTGTCCATCCGAAAGAGGTTGGGATCTTAACTCAAGAACAGTATCCTTTAAAAAAATAATGTGAAGATGAATTCAAATTGCATAGGGGAAAAGAAGTTATATCCAAAATGTATGGTATTTTATGAATGCCCAAATATGATCACATTTTCTGAGATGTGCCTTTTTCATTCATTAACCAGCATAATATTTTCCAGGGACTCTCCATTCAGAAGAAATGTTGGGGCGTTTTCCTTTACCAATAGAAAATGAGACACAAGAGACTCTGTAGATGAAGAAATTATAGCCTCCTCGCAAATGAGAGACATTCAAGGATATACAGCTTCCCACAGAAGGGAAATAACCACCAGCTTCTCTACGGCATAGACTGCAAGCAGAGAAATATGAACTTCACGAACTGCACCACAGAGGCCAGCGTGCTTGCCAGGCCCAAGACCGTGACTGAAAAGATGCTCGTTTGCATGACCCTGGTGGTAATCACCGTGCTCACCATGCTGCTGAACTCTGCTGTCATCGTGGCCATCTGCACCACCAAGAAGCTCCACCAGCCTGCCAACTACCTGATCTGCTCTCTGGCAGTGACCGACCTCCTGGTGGCAGTACTCGTCATGCCTCTGAGCATCCTGTACATTGTCATGGACAGCTGGGGGCTTGGGTACTTCATCTGTGAGGTGTGGCTGAGTGTGGATATGACCTGCTGCACCTGCTCCATCCTCCACCTCTGCGTGATCGCGCTGGACAGGTACTGGGCCATCACTAATGCTGTGGAGTATGCCAGGAAGAGGACGGCCAAGAGGGCTGGTCTGATGGTCCTCACTGTCTGGACGATCTCCGTCTTCATTTCCATGCCTCCTCTCTTCTGGAGAAGCCACCGCCAACTCAGCCCACCCCCCAGCCAGTGCACCATCCAGCATGACCATGTCATCTACACCATTTACTCCACACTCGGGGCATTTTACATTCCTTTGACTTTGATTCTGATCCTCTATTATCGGATTTACCACGCAGCCAAGAGTCTTTACCAGAAAAGGGGATCGAGCCGCCATTTAAGCAACAGAAGCACAGACAGTCAGAATTCATTCGCAAGCTGTAAACTGACGCAGACTTTCTGTGTGTCTGACTTCTCCACCTCAGATCCTACCACAGAGTTTGAAAAGATGCACTCTTCCATCCGGATCCCTCCGTTTGACAATGACCTCGATCACCCTGGCGAACGCCAGCAAATCTCCAGCACCAGGGAACGCAAGGCGGCGCGCATCCTTGGACTGATTTTGGGTGCATTCATTTTGTCTTGGCTTCCGTTTTTTATCAAAGAGTTAATTGTGGGTTTGAGCGTTTACACTGTGTCCTCTGAAGTGGGTGATTTTTTGACATGGCTTGGTTATGTCAATTCTCTGATCAACCCACTGCTGTACACAAGTTTTAATGAGGACTTTAAGCTGGCCTTTAAGAGGCTCATTAGATGCCGAGAGCATACTTAGTTTGTAAAAAGCCAAAAGGCACGACTTTCACCCGAGCCTCTGCAGTACATGGGGCCAAGGGTGCCACGTATTCACTCTTGAGCATACGTGCTTCTGCAGAGTTTGTAAGTGTGTGAGGTCTATTTATTTCTTTGTTTCGTCCTTCCTTGTTTGAGGCTTGTTATTTGGTGTACTGTTTTCTACCTCTAGTCTTATCTGTGGTACATAATTTCAAATAAATATGATCATACAAACAGAAATTACATAGAAATAATAATAAAGTGACGTAAGACATACTTTTGTTTTTTCTCACTGTTTCAGCTGACCTTGCAATTAAATAATGCGCCCCAAGTCTTTATTTCCAGAAGTTCTTATCACTTGTAAATCAAATATCTGATGACTTGCTCTCATGTAGCATTAAGTTCGAGGCTACCCCATGTGCACATACAGGCCCCCGAGAATTGCATGGCTTCATAGAAAATGAGAAGAGAATGATATCCTATCACCTCAGCATGCAGACCTAAACTTAAATTTTGTACTCTAGCACCATGACCGCATAGCCAACTCTTTCCAAGCAGATAGTGTTTTTTAAGTCACAATTAAATTTCCTACTTTTCTAAAAGACTCTACAGTGAATGCACTGTCACTTTCCGAAGTCTTTTACTATGAATATGAAACATAAGCAACCAAGAAATCATTGAAATCTACTTTCATCTTGATGTTGCTGACAGACACATTGAGACTCCTCCGATTCAAACCACATCCCTTAGGCTGTCACTAGGCAGGATTCAGGTGGTAATTTAACATTTGGGCTGCTTTTCTAAGAAGTTTATTGAGATAATCCAGTGAATTTTATTGGAGATCATTACTCACTAAACTGCCAATCATATATTTGGAAATAAAAAGCTGAAAAATCTGTTCACAAAAAAAAAAAGACCACAGGGGCTGGAGAGATGGCTCAGTGGTCTAAAGCCCCTACTTGGAACAAGCTTAGCAAAAGCATCAGGGACCGCGGTTCAATCCCCCAGCACCACATGCCAGCCAGCCCTGCCCCCTGGTGGGCTGAGCCGGTCTCTCTCTCTCTCTCTCTCTCTCTCTCTCTCTCTCTCTCTCTCTCTCTCTCTCAAATAAATAAATAAAATAAATAAAATTAAAAAAAAAAAACCACAGATTGTGAAATGAGTGTAAAATGGTGTTGCCCGGTATTTCTGGGGCTTCTATGCCAGACAGCAACCTGAGGTCAGGAGGATGCAGGTGAACTCGAGGCCACAGAGACAGGCCTGACTCAGCATCTCCTGACCTGGACAGAGTGACTGATCAAGTCTGTAGAAGATCTCACTATGACAAACTAAAACATGGGAATGGGAGGGTTGAAACGTGAAAAATGGTTGTACACTCTCAACTAAGGGACTGTCCTAAGCCCCTGCCTCTTACCTCACACCCAGAGCCTCTCCCCAGCTCTTCACTCTCCACTCCATGTTTTGTCCTTTAAGTCTGTCCCCACTCAGCTTTCCTGCAAGCTTGCTTTTATCCCACCTCCCCCAGCATGCTCTAATCTCACTTACTAGTTCACTCACGTGCTTTGGACACTAGTGTCAACTTCCTCTGGCAGTACTTCCCCATCAATCTCCTACCTCCTCTCTCCCTGACTCTCACTTGTCTCTGGTTACTATGCCCCTCATCTGCCTCACCCTCTCACCTTCTGCTGATTTTTCATCTTTTGCCATCTAAGTACACCGGCCCTGTCCTCCCCAGTCTGATCTCCCAAGGGTCATTGATGACTTGCCGGCAGGCACCTTCTCCTTTGCTTGTCAGTTAAAACAGCTGACAACCATTTTCCTGCTTAAGTCTGTGCCTTCTGGGACATTTCCTTCTGGGATATTTTGTTCTCCTTGTTGTTCCACTGCCTCCTTACTTCCTCCTTCTTTATTCCTCATTTTGCATTTTGGTGCTTCGTTCTCAGCAATGGCTTCCTCTGTGTCTATATTGCACCCCAATAGCTTCCATTTTATTAATTAGTTCCATACACCTCTGGCATCTAAACTCTCTCTCTCTCTCTCTCTCTCTCTCTCTCTCTCTCTCTCTCTCTCTTTCTCTCTCTCTCTCCAAATCTCTAAATCTATGGATGCCTGGTAATATTTCCTACATTGTCCCACTGTCTCTCAAACACAACCTTTCTAAACTAACTCACAGTCATTTTCCCACATCTCTTCCTTCCATTTTTTTCTCCCCAGTCTCAACAGAATTGCTATTTTCTTATCAGTCATATTAAATAAATGTGATCTCTTTGTTGCAGGACTCCCACATCCAGATGGTCTTCAAGTTGTGTCCATTTGTTTCTTTAGAAACTATTGTTTTTGCTACTGTCTGCTTCCTCAGCAATTCATTCCTCTTCTTAGTGGGCCTCCCTGTTCTGGACTTCTCCACTTCCTTGCCCCATACACCTTCCAGAAATAGCCTCCTATAGCAGTGTCATGTTTTCAGAGTGGTATTTCCAGACCAGCAGCCTTAACATATCCTGGAAACTTGTTAAAAATTCCAAATCTAGAGCCTTATCCAAGACTTACTAAGTCAAAAACTCAAAATGAAGCCCGTGGACGTCTGTTTTAAGAAGCCCTGCTGGACACTCTGATACACACAAAGTTAAAGTATACTTCTAATTTTAAATTTCAACACAAAAGATCTATTTGTTCCTCAGTAGTAAAAAATAAATAAAGATTTCTAGTATCATGCTGAAGGCCCTGCACAATGTCACTTCAAACAGTCTTTGCACAGTTATTTCTCATCATTGTTTCTCACCTACCTCACACTTGAGAAAATTCTGAACATTACCTGTACTTGCAACTTGTAATAAGGGATAACCCTACCCTTGTTCCCATTGCTTCAGAAATCAGGGCCCAGGGGCTAGGGAGATGGCTCAGTGGAATAAGCACTTCCCTGGCAAGCACAAGGGCCTGAGTTCAATCCCCAGT